CAGCAATTTATATGGCTGTGAGTCGGTTCGGTTTCAACTGCAACTCCAAGGCGGGTGCCCGTTTCATGAATGGATTCTCCTTGGCTTGCCTTGGTTTCTTCAGCTTTTCTGGGTTTTCTCAGCTTCAGCTGGCAATGGCCCAAATTGTGCGAAGCTAATTCTTAGATGCACTGAAAGAAATCAACTCTAAAATAAGATACAAAATGGAACTAGAACTATGTATACAATGATAGATATTTTAACATTACTTTTCTCTCTCTGTTAAAAACGCAATGCAATTACTTATCACAGTATGCTCCAGAGCCAGACATGAGGTGACCATCCACCGATGCTCGCCTGGCATCGAAATTACTTCACAGTTCTTGCCCGTGCCTATGAGTATGCAAATGTCTAGCATGCTGGACACGACTATTACCTGTCACATTGTCAGGTGATTGCGAAATTGTTGCGTTACGCCAGCGCCCAAAAGATCTACGAATGGTGGAACGCGGGTTAAATTTGTGGGAAACATCAACTGCGGCTATGGGCGAGACTAAGTGCCCGGGCACCCCATTGATGGCAGTTGGAAACGTGACTCGAACGTGACGTTTTGTGCAAACAGGAAGATGCCAACTGACAGCAGACGGCACAACTTGGCTAAAAACAGCAACAGTTGGTTGGTTGCTTCGTTGGTTGGGGCCACAACAGACAAGAGTTAATACAGTTCGGCGCGGAGTTGACTTGATTGCCGTCGACGTTGGTGGTGGTCAAGGCAGGCATAAAAAGGAAACCGAAACTTAAGACCCAAAACCTAAGCCCCCACCAAACCCCAAAGTCTGGCCAAGATCCAGACCCAAAAACGGTACTCACAAAATTACTTTAACTGCTCTCCTCCAACGACTACGACGGCCTCTTGCCTTGACTTTGAATGCGTTGAACTTTTGTTTGCATAAACTTGGCCAACAGGCAGAGGCGGTACCCTTTTGCCAGCCCCGCTGCTTTATCAGCACTCACATCATATTTACAATATGGAAATCATTTGCATTGTAATAATTTACAATTTCGCTGCGTAGGACGAGCTATACCTAAGCTCGAATGTTGGCCTGGCCAAGTCTGTTCTTTTCTGTTGTGTGTTCTTTTCTGTTCTGGTCAACAAAGCCGTGTAATTGATGAAAGCCCCCAATCGCTATTAATGTCATCGATAACATTTCGATTCTGTGTCGAGTGAGTGGCGATCCAAGCTAAAGTTGGTGGGTCCCTGGGCCGTGGACTCTCTCTCTCTCTCTCTCGCTTCGATTTGATTTCGGCCTAGGTCCAGGGACCCAAGACCTCACTTTGTGCCACGAAGAGTTACAAGCTCGTAAACGTCGACAACACAAATCAAAACATGTCACAAACAGTTGCTACGCCTTAAAAATTCCTGGAAAAGCCCCAAACAAACGCTTGTAGGTCGATTACTTCCTGGTGTAAATGCTGTCAGCGTTCTCCGCAGGAAGAGAATGGAAATGGAAATGGAAATTGCAAAGGCAATGGTAATCGTAGAGGTAATGGAGATGGAAATGGCATTGGCGATCGCTAATTTATGGTACTCGTCAAGGTGGAATGGCTCTAAATAAGCCAAGAACATTTATTTATGGGGAAAGGGTGCGTTCCGAGAAGTTTGCCTTTGTCTGGGCTTGGTTTTAGGTTAACTTTAGATAACTGATAATAATTCACTTTTAACTTTTTAAGTAGTATCGCGAAAAGTGTTTTTCAAGACTATAAACTTAATGGCAAAAAAAGTATGTATAAATTCCCTGGCCATCCTTCACCTTACAGAAAGAAACAAAGAACAACCGTAAAAGCAATTATCAGATGTCCTGGATTGACTTAACCACATCCCGATTTCGCTTTGGCAACGCCTTAAATCATTTTAAGCAAACACTTGGGCACCAAATGGCCGCCCATTGTATAAACTGCAGAATGCCGCTTGGCTTATCAAAAGAAAGCTTATTAATAACTCATATACATAATGCAACCAGATCGGGCCAGGGGCGAGATGGAGCCGGCAACACACATAATCACTAAATCAAAACTCCCCGCGACATGAGAAATGTGGAAATTGAAAAACGTTTCAGCACCGAATGCGAGTGGGTTCCAAGAAGAAACCAAAAAGCAGCTTCATTGAGTGGTGCACAAAAATAACTCAGAGGAAGACGAACCCAAAGACCCCGAAGAGATCTCAACTTCGAATCCGAAAGAGTTGAAAAACCAACCCAGAACTCGAAAAAGCCAACTGAAAACGCCCAAAGCGCGATACTCAACACTTCGGACAAGTTCTTGACACCATTGGGGCCAGGCCAGCCGCGGAGCCAAGTTTGGAAAAGGGAAAATATTTTTTATTGGCCATTTCAATTATCTTAATGCACTTTAATATGCCAGTCGAGTTGAAAACTCTTTTTTACCGTTTTACCAAGACGGCCAAGACGAATGCGTGTGAGTGTATGAGTATGTTTGTGATTATCAGCTAATAAGGCATCAATAAATTTTGGTAAGCAGCAGCCGTGGCCCGAAAATGCCAGAGTTGGCTATACGGCTCTTGGCCAGATCGCCTCGAGATGATGCCGCAGATTGAGCCAGCCAGATTGCAATTAATTTGCAATAACTTTTGATAAATGCGCGCCTGCATTTTGAAGGAGGGAAGTGGATTTAACGTCACACGATAACGAGTTGACGCGATTAACTGGTAGATATGTATTCCCCAACTTGGGTCAGAACCACTCCCGTTAGCCCCGAGATATAGACGGGCCACTTAAGTGAAATCGAAGGTTCGCAGTTGCTTTATGGCTTCCCCGAAAAATCCCAAATATCCCCGAAAGCAATATCATTTTATTAACTTGCCATCAAACTTTATGCCGGCCAAGAAAAGTAAAAAAAAAAAAACGACACACAAAAAAATGCCAAACGATCAGTGTAAAAGTTGCATGCGACAAATTTTTTGTTGCCAAGACCCACGGGCTGAGACTGTCCGGGAATGTGGGGAAGTATTTGAAAAATTTCATCAATGAGCGAAAAGTTAATAAAAAATAATTAATTTAAGCGAATTGACCGGCAGAAGGGCGGGGCCGGGAGTTGGGATCGGAATTGGCGCTGCAAGCGCATTTAAATTGAATAAAAGTTGCTGAAAGACGGCAACATTGCAACTGCAACTGCTATTTGCCGCTGCCGTTATGCGCTTAACATCTTGGCATCCAATCAATTAGTTTTTATGCGCTTCCATTGCCAACTGTTGCAGTTGCTTTTGCTGTTGCTGTTGCTGTTGGTCTGGGCCAAGCCTTCTTTCTCTTCGTCAGCCGTGTCAGCAACAAATTGGCGAAGGGACCCGGCGACAACTTGCAACCAACCACTGGCACAACGGCAACTTGCCACAGCAATGGCAATGCCAACTTGCAACAGAAACTGCCACAACCACGATGACAACGGCGCGGACATCTTGCAGCTGCATTAACACTGCCCGGGAAAAAGGAGAGATCATTTTCAACTGGTTATTAACAGATCGATATTGCTTATCTTTCTATATGGTTTTTTATGGGGAAAACTACATTGTATTGAGGGAAATTATGAGTGCCTCCAAGGATTTCCTAAGTGACTGAAAGGACTTTTGGTTAAGTAGAAAAATTCGGATTTCTGTTGCAGTTTAAAGGACATTCTAAGCTTTCAGGCACCATAACTAAGAATCTATATTTAGTATTACATTCCACCAAATTTATCCAATATTCTCTTTAAATATAACCTATAGTTTCTGTGTATTAACCCAAAACCTCAATAAACTGTATTTTATCGGGTTATACGAGTAGGTATCTCTAGCAATTTCGGCCAAGCAAACAGGCAACGCAATCAGGGTAAACACTTTGCTATAATTATTTCAATCGCCATAGCCTCTAGGCCAGTGCAACCAGCAGTTTTTGCATCTGTTCAAATGTGATACTTTCCCAAAAGCCAGAAAAAAAAGAACTAATAGAAAAGAAAGAAATATCAGACGCTGACTTAAGTCTTCGGGCCGGGTGAAATGTTATTCAAATGGCTTTCAAATGCCAACGAAATGTGCGCAGGTTTGCGGTTTCTGCGATTGACAAATCAATTTGGCGATGGCTTTTGGGGCTGGGATTTGCTGTTTTTTACCTCTTTTTTTTTTTAGTTTTTTAATGCCATCGAAAGACGGAACCAACACCTGCTGGCTGATGGCATTTCTTATTCTTTTTCGGCTGACCGAGAAATCCCCGCTAGCCGACACCTTCCAGTCGAGGCAGCCACGTCGATCAAAGCCATTCGAACACTTGGCAAATATATGCGCATTGCTAAGCAGTTGGTTTAAAAAGGGGGGGAGGGGAGGTTGAGCAGGGGGATGAAGGTAAATCGACGACAAGCTGGCGGCAGCTACGTCTGCATAAATGCATGAGGATGCCTCCAGCCGCATCTGCATTTCTGTGGCGGCTTAGCATCCAACTGCCAATGGCTTTTGGCCAAGTCATTGCCGCTTGTTGCTTGTTGTTTGTTGCTGTTGCTGTTGCTGTTGCAGTTGCCATTGTTGCTGTTGTCCAAACACAACTGAAGTGCTAAAAACATTCCAATGTCAGGTATTAGCAATTTAAGTTAACCCGCTCTTACCACTCCGCAGGAATCGCCACTCAAGACTCACTTCTCCGATTCTGTGGCGGCATCTCTTGACGAGCCAAACAAAGTGATCCCGAAGAAAGGAACATTCTCCTTTGATTGCCACAATGTGGCTGTCGATGTGGATGCAACAAATTAGACAGTTTGCTAATCTACTGAAAGCGCTTCAGGCTCATAAATCATAAATGCCAATAGTCATGGAGTTTTTTGCCTCAAAGGTTAACTTTTGTGTGTAATTGTAGGTGGGTTAAAAGGTATTAACTTATCTTTTAAACCTGAAAATAGTTAGTACAAGGCTTTAATATATAGAATAGTTCTTCTTTAACAAGAATCAGAAGCAGTAATAACGAAATTGAAAAGACTTTAAATTATGTTTTTAAATATAATTTAACATTTTAAGTAACTTACATTGAGTTAATGAACGAATAAGTTAATATCTTATTCTTTTGTTCTTAAATTCTGTTACACTTAAAATCTAAAATTACTTAAAAATTATATATGATTACTTCTCTAATTATGTTTATGGCACTCACTTTAATTTCACTGCCAAAAGAAATGTTGCTTGCCGCAAAAACCGAGTTGCATGCATTTGCATTGCCCAGGGGCCGAAAAAAAAGTGTCCAGAAAATGAGGCTCAAAGGGGTTTTTGGTCATGGGGGAAAAAAAGGGCGGCTGGGAGGCGTGGTCGGCTGGGCATAGCAACTTTTGCGCGTTTCTCTCTGGCTGGTTGTTTGTGTTAATTGAGTTGTTTGCAGCTTGTGTTGCTGTTGCGGCTTCATGTTGCTGCTGTTCCTGCTGCTGCTGCTGCTGCTGTTGCTTGTTTCGTTGCACATTCGTTCGTTTGTTGCATTCATTCCGTTAACATTTTTTTTTAAACACACTACCAGTTGTTTTGCTGCTGTGATTTTTGTGTTCCCCTGTTGTTCTATGTCTGCCCAAAGTCCCCCCCTCCTGGTCGGGCCGACTTTTTGCAATTTTACAGCAATTAGTGCTGCTTGTGTAGACTGTCAGTTATTCCTCTGCAGATTTTCAAGTCAAGTGAGTGTTTTGGATTCGTGGCCGTTGTGTTTTTCCGCTTTTCCCCTTTTGATGTTTCGTTTGCCTGAGCCATGTCTCTTAATGTCGCGCACATCAGCCGAAATGAGTCATGGGAGCTGCTGCGCTTTATGATGTTGCTGTGTCTGGTGCTGATGCTGATCTTATTATTGCTGTTCCTCTTCGTGCTGGTGGTGGAGGCAATGCTACTCCTGACACGCTGCCTGTTGGGCAAGTCTGCCGTTTTGAAGATCTTTCAAGTAATATAATATATTAAAATAAATATTTTCAGAAATAAAAAATAAAAATTACTTGTTTTTCTTAGGCCTTGTCTTATCCCACCTGCTGCAAGGACTTGGTTTTCGGGGCTCCCGATATGCCAAATAAATGGGCAAAGGAGTGTCCTCTGGTAGTTTATCCCGCTCTAGTTTTGTGTTTAGAAAACGATCCATGGCCTTTTTCTCGCGAGCCTGATTACTGGCTAAGACCATGTCCCGAAGCTCCTCGTCTAGGGTTCTGTATGGGTTTTGTGGATGGCGAATGGTCTGGGGCAAAGCCCGCAGCCCGTTGCGGTTCCGTTCCGTGGCGGAGGCGGAGGAGGAGGCATTAGGGACCCGATTATTTCTACTCATTTGATAGGAATTTTGCTTAAATTGTATTCAAAACTTCTTTATGCTTATTTATTGTACACAGACTCAGGTCTCTATGAATAGTGAATATGATTTATCCTGAAGTAAGTTTAAACGCTTACTGCCAGTTTAGTAAGGGTCCTAACTTTCAGATTCGAACGGATTTCCCCACATCAAGAGCTCATACTTACTACTACTAGCTCATAATTACTGTTAATATAAAGATAGTATAAAAAATAAGCATTTTAGTTCCTAGAAATATGTCTTTATATTTAATTTCATAATATTTTTCAAGGAAAAACTGGAAGATGGCTTGCTTTAAATCCATTTAAAGATCATTTTCAGATTGCCTCAGTTCATCTAAGATTCCTATAATATAGCTCTTAATAATTTCAAATTTTACAAAAGAGTATTTTAACCTAATTTACCTAAGGCAAAATTGATGAATCCTTTCAGATTTGAAAACGCACTTTCTTCCTTTGAACTTCTTCTATTGGCTTATCCCACCGGCTTGGGGGACTGGGGCAGCGCGGTTCCTTGAAGGCCAAGTAGATGGGCAGCGGAGTGTCCTCCGGCAGTAAATCTCTCTTCAGCGGAGTCTTCAGCAAACGATCCATGTCCTTTTTCTCATTTACGATCCGCATGTGTTCCATAAAAGCTCTATAATACCACATTGGCCTACGATCAGAACCGGTGTTTCTGTAATTTCGGTTATAAGTACTATTATTATTATTATTATCCATTTTTAAGATTTTCTTGGATAATTTTCTAGACTTTCGCACAAATTATAGAAATTTTTGACAACTGGCTGGTTAGAGTTGTTATCTTTAAAAAAAAATTGTTATTCGATAAGAAATCAATTGCAGTTATTCAAAATTTATCGATAAATGTGAGAGTTCCAAAACGAAACTTTATTTTCAAGGTGAATGGCAGCCATAGGCTGGTAACCTAAACTAGTTTTCGGGAACTTCTAAGAGATCTAAAATGGGAATAAAAATAAAACTAAAAACCAAGTAAAGTTTTTAAATATTTGTTTATTTTTTATAAAATTTTTAATATATATCAGACTACAGCTAAGTCATCGTATTAGAATCCAAACGCATGGCACTCGAACACGCCCAAGTAGAAAAATGGGCAGAGATTTGCCACAGACAAAAGCCAAAACAAATATGCAACCTGGACCCAACGGAGACCCCCAGCAATAGCAAAAGCAAAATCCGCTGTTGCAGCCACATAAAAAAAAGCAGAAAAAAAATCGTTTTGTGTCACAAAATATTTGAATGTAAAGTGCGCCTCAGACTGTGGAACTCTAATAGTGTAGACTCGGTCTCGATTGCAGCTTTGGTTTGCTGTCTTTATTCCCGTACCAGTGCTGTGATATTCGAGCTATATCTATACTATAGCTTTGGCCATAGCTGACGTGCGCCTGCGCGGCCACGCCCCCTCCTCCGCTGCACCTCCTCAACGACCACTCAGTTGGGATCACTAATTGGTCACGACAGCAGCGAGCTTTGGTTTTCTTTTTTTTTCCTACGATTTTTCAACTCTTTGCTATGATTCTCTGTTGTTGTTTTTCTTTTCGTTTTTTTTTTTTTTTGATTTTTTGGCTAAACGAAAAGTAAAATCCATTGAATTTGGCAAGAGGCCGTTGCGATTTCGTTTGGCCAGCTCCAGCTCCAGCAGCTCCAAACTGAAACCTTCAATTTTGGTAGCTTTTCCGTCGAGTCTCGCAGACAGCCAAGCAAAACCACCTACCTTTTGGCCAAGTCCCCCCTAGTCCGGGGTATTAAAGTTTAGCGTCGCAATTGATTTTAGTCGTCAGTTTTATGGGCTTTTGATTTTTCTTCATTGTACCAGGTTGATGGTTTCTTCATTTTTTTTTTTTTGTGGTTTTTGTTTTTGGCCAAAACCGATGGCGCAAACGTTAGTAACAATTCGCTTCGTTTTGGCTAAATTTATTCGATGTTTTATTATTGAATATAATTTTAAATGGTTTTTTAATCATTTTTTGATGTTTGCCCAAATGGCCAGCTATTATTCAAGAGGCCCAATCATTAAGTAGAATTTCTGTTTCTCGTTGTGCAACCTGCAATAAATTACCATTAAATTGGGAAAACATGTTGAAATAAATATTTGATGAGCTCACTTTTATTTCTTTCTTTGCAATTAAAATAAAGACGAAAGTTAGCTGGGACATTAGTGTATATCCTTAAGCCTGTTCGGTTAATTATATTTTTTTAATTCAGTCTCGAATTTAACTCCCACACTAACTTCTTGGGATTGTTATTTATGGTCGCTCTTTTAGTGCCGGGAATAGCAACAATAAACATTTCGGCAACCGCCGCAGGAAGGCGACCGACCGACAGCCTCATTCATCAAATGAAAATTTACTTAATGAAATTAATAAATAAATTATGATATAAATCTTGAACAGTCGCCGAATTGCCGTTGCAACGTTGTCTCGGTGTTCAAGCAGCAGCAGCAGCAGCAGCAACATTTTTATTAAAAGCTCTAAATTATTGGCAGTCGCATGCGATGCCGACAAACGAGCCTGGTCAGCTGCTGTTGCTGTTGTCGATGTTGCTATTGGTTGTTGTTGTTGCTCCTTAGCTAACCAGCAACAGCAGGCACACATTAACGAGCAAATGTCAATTTCCAGGCAATCTTTTTGCAATTTCTGGCTTTTTTAGTTAATAATTTTTGGCCATACCGCCGGAGTTGCCGCCGTTGAGGTAATAGCCACAACTTCGTGTCGGCTTTCGTAATGTGCCAGAAGAAATATTTGCGGCTAGTAAAATTAAGTTAATATATCTCTTTTTTTTTTGGGTGCTTTTAATTGGGCGGCGTGGGAATAGGGAAGGGTTATGAATACTCTACCATTATATAATGAATTTTCCTGCTAAGCAATCTATGTTTTTGAACCATTTTAATGACAAATTCAAGGTGATTATTAAAAATGAATATACATAGAATTTTGAAATTTCCTAGAGTATTTCAGCTTCTTTATTGAACTCAGAAATTTTCCTTTCTCATTTATGCTGGGCACTTGATAAATTTCTGAACTCGCCGACAAATATTTTTCTGTTTTCCTGATCAATTTTTTCTATTTTTTTCCGTTGTTTTTCCTTTGCCACGTAAATGTGTCAAATATTGACAATTTATATGAAATCGACATAGGTGCCTTGGCCAAAATAAGGGGAAAAAAATATCCTAACAAAAAACTGATTTTGGCGACTGGCAAGAAATATGAGTTAAATGCGTTTTTTGGGTCGTTGCAATAATTTTTCTATGTCTTTTTTTTTTTCGTTGTTATTGGTATCCCTCTCTCATTGGATTTGCAGTTTTGATTGCTGTTGTTAGTTTGGTGTTGTTTGCAATTGTTGTTCTTGGTGTTGCTGTTGCTGTTGCAGTTGCAGTTGCCATTGGCTGTGGTTGCTGTAAACAGGAGATTGTTATTTGCAACCCGCTGTGCGTACACCGCAAACTGGACAACTTAATTTGGCTAAAGTCGCTTGTTAGTGTTGCTGCGGTCTGGCCAGGCATTGTTGTTGTTGTTGTTGTTGTTGGTGTTGCTGTGGCAGTTGCAGTTGGCGGTGTCGCAGTTTGCGGTCCACGCTCACCACATCATATCACATCCGAGCCCGGAATGCCAATTGAGGCTTCGAGATGAATATGAAGATGAAGCAACAGCAACAGCAACAGCATCTGCGGTTCTTTTCTTTCTTTTCGTTATTGCAGTCGACCAGCGAACCTGGGGACTAGTTTCCCGCATATCGAATGCAGTTGCCATAGTCACAATTAAGAGAAACACGAAATTAGAATGCAAAATCAGGTTCCAATTTTCAGTTCAACTTCCCACATATCGCTGAAAACCAGAGATGGTGAGAACTATAACGGTTATTGATAGCTCACTAATTGATATTTCTAAAAAACCATAGGAGATCGGGTAGTAATCTGTAGAGAAAGAGAGGGAAAAGCAAGTGGCTGCGTTTCGTTAGAAAAAGTAACTCAAGTTATAAAATGTTAGTAGATGATATTAATTCTTAAAAACTTAGATTTCCAAACTATTTGTCAGTCAAAGTTGCTTTCCAAACGATAGTTTGAGCTGCAACTTATTCCATTTTACCATCTCCAATGCAGAGTTGTTATCCTTTGGGCCATATTTCTTAGCGTTTTTATTGTGGCTCTTTAATTGCTCACGTCATTGATTAATTTGTTGACTGGCTCGACTTAATAAACGCCACACGACTGCATGAAAAACAATGCAGCCAGGGAAAACAAATCCCCGGCTGCAGTGCGGCGTTATTTGCTGCAACAGTTGCAACTGCAGCAGCAGCAACATGAAAGTTGTCGCGTCACAAACGCAACAAACGACATTTATCATTTTAACCTTTGGAGTGCATTTGTCTAGACGTCTTCAACGAGGGTTGATGTGTACGAGGTGTGTTCAAAAAGTAAGGTGACTCTTCAAATTTCGCGAATTTCAAATTTTTCGATTATCGATTTTTTTGTTTTGTTATATTGGTACACTCTTCCCTAACATCTGTACCAAGTTTCAATGGAACATCCTCTTTTGTTTGGTTGTGAGAGGCGTAAAGTTACAAGTTGTTTTGCGAGCTCGGCGATTTTTTGCTATCGAAAAATATGGATCAAAGGATTTGGATTTTTTGGCCAAAAACAACACCACAATAATGCCTCAGCCACCATATTCACCGGATTTGGCCCCATGTGACTTTTTCTTGTTCCCAAAACTGAAGATAATCGAAAAATTTGAAAAATTTGAAATTTGAAAAGTCACCTTACTTTTTGAACACACCTCGTATAACTTCTAAAAGGTTTCGATAATCGAAAAATTTGAAATTCGCGAAATTTGAAGAGTCACCTTACTTTTTGAACACACCTCGTATGTTGTTGTTGTTGTTGTTGTTTCTGGCCAACAAAATGCGGAAGAAAAAAAGCAGTTAAGGCACCGCAGGCGCAAAAAGGAATCATAATAATTTGTAATAAATTAACGCCTCGTATATACATACATATGTGTGAGAGTGTGTTGCTGTGTTGCAATGACAAACGCAACAACATCGGCGGCAACACCTAG